TCTAACGGAACATTTGAAACAAGCCGTTCTAACGGAACATTTGAAACGAGCCGTTCTAACGGAACATTTGAAACAAGCCGTTCTAACGGAACATTTGAAACAAGCTGTTCGATCATATTCCAACATGAATGGATAACTTTGTGAACTGCTTCTTAAACTGATTGATAACATTTGTAGCTCTGAGTCGTACACCAGCAGAGCTCAAATCCAACAACTTTTAAATCAATGCAGACTTTCTTCTTTAGTGGTTCTGCCAGGATCCACCAGGGCCCGCTTCCTTGACTCCAGTGGTCCCAGATCACTTTGGACTCAACCACAATCCCCGACGAGCCAACTTTGAAATATTCAACCTTTTGACCCCATAACCAAACAGTATTTTTTACTAACTCAAATAAATTATTGCACGTTTTTCAGATATGATTAATTTTTGGACGGCATTTTCTGAGCTGTTTTCATAAACCGTGATTTGTAACGCAACACGTTGTCTCTACAAACAAAATGAACTTTCCACGTTTGAAGCTCTCGACCTTGACCTCTGGAAGTGGCTTCAAACATCTGTTGAGTTCAAGGCAAGAACCAACGCACACACTCCTGTTTTTAGTTTTCTACACCGCCTTATAATCTAGCTGTTTTTCTTGTTGTCCTCACTCTTTTAGAACCAGGTCTCTGTTGGAAAAGAGTCCCGGAGGCTCAATGGGTTCCACCTGTAGAAATAAAGGTTGAATGAAAAAGAGTAAAAGAAGCTGACTCACCGTTTCAGACTGGAGGACGAGAAGAAACAGCAAGAAAAGAGACTCTGGTCTCATCCTGACGAACATGAAACAAGTGAAGTATTATTTTAGAAATGAAACAGATGAGAGTGAATAAAATGTCCCACAGAGATGGAAGGTTCAGAAGCCGTTCTCATTTCTCGGAGGACTCGGGCAACGAGCTGATATCTGCCCTGTTTGCTGCTGTCACCAATCATTAGCTCGTCTCGTCGATGTGGACTCGAGTGGACAGCTGGACCCAGGATCGATCCTCCGGACTCACAGAACACAGACACGGGCTGGAAAACCCAGATTCTGTAAGCTCCAAAACAAACATGTAGGCGGTGCGGTGGCTCAGCGGCCTTTAAAGCGGACTCTGGAGCGCCAGTGTGGAGTCGAATGACGGTGTTATTTATGAACATTTAGCTGAAGGACCCGTATCGAACAGATTTAGAAACTTTGCATTAATAATTTCAGTTGTAACAAATAAAAATGTCTGCAGCCCTCTGTGACCCTGAGCTCGATGGACGGACACGTCAGAGCTCAACACCAAACTGATAAAAACATTTAGATCTTCTCAGACACCGACGCTCCGGCCCGACCTCATTTAAAACGTGGTGGACTCTGAGCACAGCTCTCATTCTGTTCTTTCTGAAGACAGGACTAGCAGCAGCAGCTCTGCACTTTCTGCAGGGCTTCTTCAAATCTTTATTGGACGTTTATTTTTCAGAAACTCGTTTTACTTCCAGAGGAACGTTGGCTGCAGAAGAAAGATGGCTGCCGAGAGAGAGGCGTGCTTTTTATTTTTATCAGGTGAAGGCACGAGTCTCCAGAACGTCTCGACGTTTGTCCTCACCTTCCATGAACCGCAGCGGTTCTCCGTCTCGTCGTTTGAGTTTCAAGTGTTTAAAACGTTTGTGCAACACGTTTCCCTGGAGTTCGAGTCCTGTGGACGTCTCAAACCGTCTGAAGGGAGTTTCATCTCGACATCTGCTTCCACCACCACAGACTCACTAACAATCACGAACAACACACAGTCCAGACTTTGTGACACAACTACAGTCTTCACACACAGACTGAGTGAGGCTTACTTTTCAGTTAACATTTCTGCCTGCCAGTATTGACTTGTTTTTTAATTGAAATTATGTTAATGACCAAAAAGAAGCTTCTCCAAATGAAGTTAGTTTATTAAATTCAGCGTTTTCCAACAGAACTCTTCCACAAACCATCAAGAAGCAACTTTATAAAAAAAAAACAAAGTGTCAAAGTCAGATCCTCAAACCTAAAGTGTTCCAGTGAACTTAAATACTTTTAGGATTAAATGTTGCTTTGACACTCGTTTCCACCAACCAGTACACGTGCTGTTATTAAGATTAGAAAAATAGAAGTTTGGTTTGGAAATGGAGACATTTAACAGTTTCTAAACGGTGAAATAAAAGCTGTAAAATGTGAAAGGAGCACCAGATGAATCCGTTTAATCCGCCCTGGATTCTGTTCAGTTTTTCTTTAGTAACTCGTCAGTCACTGTCCAGAGGGAGGAAAGAGACTTTATTAGAAATAGCATTAGCATCAGGAAGTTTGAACAGAAAAACTACAAGATGGAAGCAAAAGAATTGAATTTTGGTTCAAGTTCAAACAACAAATTTATTCTTAAATAAAAACAAACAAAAAGATAAATATATTGTTCCATAAACATTGAACAACATGCACAGGAAGGAGGAAAATAAAGTATTTTATGTTTTTGAAACAATGAAGGCATCTGGAGGCAGTTATTGCTTTTGAGATGAATTGTATCAATTTCATTTTAAACAATTTAAACAAACCATCTAAAAATACAGCCATAAAAATCTATTTTAAAAAGGTATACGTTTATTTAAAACAAAAACTTTATAGAAAACACTTCTCTGAGGTCAGAAAGACAAATTGCTAATTTAATTAAAACAAACAAAAAATGCATTTATGAACCAAACAACCTCCAGGTTTTATATAAATATGTGTGTGTGTGTGTGTGTGTGTATATATATATATATATATATATATATATATATATATACACACACATATATATACACATATATATGTGTGTATATATATGTGTATATATAT